CGTAGACTTCTTTCGGCCATCGTCCTAAGCTGATCCAGGTTTTTGGCCAAAAACCTAGGATTTTGGCCAAACAACTAGGATTTTGGCCGAAATCCTAGATTTGTTTAGTATTATGGCTGTTTTGCATTTCGAGGGAACTTCTTCGTCTTTTAGTGGTACGTCAAGTCGCCCAACAAGCCGATGGACCCTGGTATCAGAGTTTTCAACCGCCTACTGCAAGTAGCAGGCCTCTAACATGGTTGTGTAACGACCGCCGTCTAAGTGATCATACAGAGCACTCCTCGTGCCCGTGTGGTTCAGGGGAACGAGGAGTGGAGAGTCACTTTATGCACCTCCCTCTGATCTTTTGAGGGTAGACTTGGACACCATAAATGGAAACCCTGAAGGACGGGGGGTAACATCAGACAGTCTGAACAGCAGGATTGCCTCGGATTCCCGGTAGGGCAGGGGGAATCATCAGACACCATAATAACAGGACGTACCACTGAACGCTCTAGAGGATTGGTGGTAGCGTTGGACGCCCTGGAGACCAGGAGGTAGCGTCGGACCCCCAGAAAATCCAACGCCCGTCATCTTACATCCTCCAGAGTGTCCGATACTACCCACGTCCTCCAAAGCGTCTGACGTTACCTCCCACCTTCCAGAACGTCCAATGCTACATCCTGCCTTTCGAGGTGTATGCCCGAACTACACGGGCACGTTAAGCAGTCGGTCCCGATTGCTCTTTATGATCACTTAGACGGCGGTCGTTACACAACCTTGTCAGAGGCCTGCTCCTTGCAGTAGGCGGTTTAAAAACTCTAACACCAGGGTTCATCGGGTCGTTGGGTGACTTGGTGTACCACTCGAAGAAGAAAAAGTTCCCCCGAAATGCAAAAAAAGCCATAATACTAAACAAATCTAGGATTTCGGCCAAAATCCTAGTTTTTTGGCCAAAATCCTAGATTTTTGGCCAAAAACCTGGATCAGCTTAGGACGATGGCCGAACGAAGTCTACGATTCTGCCATATGCCGGCTTTTGGCCAAAAACCTAGGTTTTTGGCCAAAAACCTGATTCTGCCATCGTACTGCGACATACACACACATGCAAAACAATGCGCGCTCCTCGATACTCACTCTTAATACAACCGCTTTAAATTCAAAACCACAGAACAATCGCTACAATAACCGGTGAAGTTAATGCTATATGTCGCAGCGATATTAATCAAACCAGGTTTTTGACCAAAAACCAAAGACCAGTAGATAACAAAGGTAAAATTCAATTTTATCATAAACATTAATTTGTTTTAGGATTTTGATCGAAAATCTATAATATAACAGGTTTCCGATCATGAACCTGAAGTAGTTTAGGATTAAATATGGTAAAGTTATTGCGAAAAACATTAATATAATGTAGTCATAACATAATAATATGCTGGTCTTTTATTAAGAACTTGATTTGGTTTACGATATGATAAAAATTTTGGCAAAACTTATGTTAAAATTTTGTTATCTTAAGCGCCTAGCTTTTTGGACAAAAACCTAGTTTTATCAAAAACTACGACATAGAATGACGCTGAACGCTGCACAATGCTGCCCATTCCCTGGATTTGGCCCTTTTATACCCTCGGGTAGAAATAGAGTGATGCTATTTTAAGCCGTGAAAGTAACATTATTTCAAAATTAAAAATAAAAATACTTTAAATGTTTAAAGAAAGCTTAAAAATCCTCAAAGGTCAATCATTATTTTATATATAGTGAAAGGTCAAGGTGGAAAATTTCACATATCACGTGTCTTTAGTTTAATTACGATAAAAATACTTAAAGAAAAAAAGTTAAAATAAAAAAGATTCGACCCATGAGGATACGAACCATGACATCCCTGATTGTTAGGCCACTGTCAGTACCAATGCGCCATCCGAACATTTAACACGGAATGCGAAATTTTGTTACCCATTTCACTATTAGTCATTATTGGAACGTGACTGTACCATGGTAGTTGAGGGCTTAGTCATCTTATTCTTTTGCTACAATCGGTTTCCTACGCGCTTCTTTGTATGTGTGAGTGGAGTTTGGCTTCAAACGACTTTAGAATTAAAGCTCATGTGCATGTCTCTGTAAAGTCTATATGGAATTCTGTAAATGTCTGTACCTATGGAAAACACATAACGGGAGGCCCATGTTCAGCAGTGCAATGTTGTATCTGTAGTGTAGTAGCACTGATAGTAGTTAGTAATAGTAGTAGTAGTAGTAGTAGTAGAAGTGCTGGAAACTTTGCAGACATATTCGGACCATGAAACTGCACAACTTAGTTTTTGGAGAATATTTTGTATTAGTGACGAAAAAAAAACATTCTGCCTCCCCAACCCTACTATACTTTATTCAATTTATAATTATTGTTCGTGAAAAAAGTAATAAAATTAGATATCCAAAATACCTACGGCATGACCCCTTGAAAGCCCTAAACAAATTCTGAAAAAGGAAACTTTGTAACCTAAAAGCATTCTCGATTTGGTTCCAACAAAAAGTTAGGTCTGGCGTCAAACAATCGTAATGGAGATACTTTAGAAGCCTTTGAAATAAAAGTTTCGAGTAGGATCATGCGTGTTACACAAAACCTTTGCGCACGTTGAGACCAAAAACAGAACAAAACAGACCTTATTCTGTAGTTCTAAGAGTCTTATTGCGTAGAAGAAAAGCCTTTCATGTATTTTGCAAAATGAAACTTTCGATAGAGTCCTCAAGTCCTCACATTCCTCTTGCACGTAAAAATTCACTGTTTGTTGTTTCCTTTCAAATCACTAAACTTTTGCGTGAGTGTTGTATTAGACGAGACTTAGGGAAGGAAGGGCTAAAAAAAATTTACCTACTTATTATTTATTTTTTGGCATCTATTGCAAAGTAGGTATACAAATAAATTAAATATTAATAAGCAGCATCCAATTAAGTAGGAATAATATTGAAATCGATACTAGTACAGCAAGGCCCTCGCTACGGCGGTCTCAAAGAGATATCTCCAATCAAGAAAATTCGATTTCAGATATTTCCTAGAACATTAATAGCTCTTATTCCTTGAACTTTCCTTGCATCTACTAGAAATATTACGTTCCTGGAGCTGGAACATAAAATCAACCGTCGGTATCCAAAGGTAGACAAAGTAGAAGAAGAATACTAGTAAATGCAGTACGTACATACTTAGTGTTTATTTTTTATCCCTACTATCCATTGCCCTCGCACTTAACAACGTAAAATCATAATCAGGTAAAGTTTGATCAGGTTTGGTTTTTTTTTCAATTTTTATAAGTAATTCCTTCTTAAGTCCGATGCGAAGCGGGAAGAACTTTGCACCAAACTCTCATTCCTTCAGTGGTTCAACTATCAGATTCAGAATGTAAAACGCAATGTTACAAATTGGTCCAATCGGGAGTGGGTCCAAGTGAGCGACTTCTCCCGCGATCTCATTACCGGCAAATGCACAATTTGTTCAGAAACAGACACCAAGAGCCAAGAAGCCACTTTAAAAGCGTTCTTCTCTCATTAAATGGTAAATATTTTTCTGCTTAATTAACTCGCCGTTCGCTCTAAGAGCTTAGTTGCGGAAATAAGAGCCGTAAACCCATTTAGTGTTGCTCGAGTGGCTGTTTCGGATTCGGTATAATTAGAGGCGAATCGCATACTTACCGGATGACATTGCGGTTAGTGTCAGACGTGTCAGCCACCATTTAAATGACAGCACTTAATACGGTATTGTAAGTAAAAATCATAAGGATCTAAAAGTTCTATAACTCTGTATTTTAAGCATAAATATAAGATACCATACATGTGCCGTGCGAGACAATGTTGTAGTTGTGGTGGAATGCCCTACTTACCTATCTCAAATCTATTTTTAAATGCGTGGGAGTGCAAGAGCAACTGTGGCAAAATCTAAGCGCGCGACAGTTTCCATGAAAACACTACCCACGCCAGCGCAACTCCCACACTAAATATCATCACTTTGAGTAGTTGTTGACATATTTCGAAGAAATTAAAGTCAAAGTTCTGCAAGGCGGTGTGCGTTTTGACGGTTTTGACCGCTTTAATTCCTTGGTGACAGCCGATGTAGCGCAGTGGTAGTACAACTGCCTAGGTTCTGGTTTCCATTCCCTGTGGGTCACTCACAAAGTTATGATATTTATTAAGCACATTTGTTACCAGTGGCAGTGCAGGCTGAACCACCTGATAGTCCGAAAACCAAGATAGTTCTGTGATTTGGAGGGAACGTTCCCGGTTGACGTCTATGATTACTAAGACGGCGGTCGTTACACAACCATCTCAGAGGCCTGCTACTTGTTGAAGACGGTTGTAAAACTCTGACACTCATTGTGGGTCGTTGGACGACTCGGTGTCCCACTCGAAAAGAAGAAGGATTCCTTGGTCACCAACTATTGGGCCATGTCTGGTTATGAAGTACATTACATTTCGAATAAAAACAATCTATTTTCTACATTTGGTTCTCACTTCCGCGTTCAGATTTTATTTCTGTTTTCGTGAAAAGAGAGTCGGGCTCAGGCGCGCATCGTCATTAATCAGTGCGCACACAGAGCGCGTATGGAAATGAATAATATGAATAATGAATTACAGCAGACGTATTGTTTAAGAAAATAAAACATTTTGGTCAGAAAACGGTACAATTTTGCTGAAAAGGCCGTTTATTTGTGACACTTGCATGCACATACTACGCTTAATAAATCATCGTGAATTAAGTATGCCTAGCACATTTTCAATCGATAAATCTTTGTTATTATTCTTAGTAAAGCATTTTTCAAACATCTTAGCAATTTTATTTAGTTCTTGAGTTATACTTTCGTTTGCAAAGTAGGTAGGTATTGAAAAGCACGACACAGTCATATAGCTCTCACAAGGATTACCTTTCTGCTCAAAGTGCCAATAAGTGAACATTCCTATTGGACATACACTGAAACACCGACAAATAGCACCTAGACCAAAGAAAATATATTTAAATAATTCGCTTAAATATCTGCTCCGGCCGGGGATCGAACCCGGGCCCTTTGCGTGGCTGGCAAACGCACTACCACCGCGCCACATCGGTCGTCATTAGAAAACGGGTCTGGCAGGTCGAGATAAAAGGCTTGCCGACAACCGGGCCGGATCACATGTTCGCTAATCGGACCAATCAGGGGGCTGCTTTTTGTGTGACAAGCCCTTTGCCCTCTTGGCATTGTTTCCGGCCCTAAATTGCTGTTAACAGCGCAGTGAAGGGTTTATTAGACAAAATATGAAATCATGTTGTTAGATTGGTCCATATGATAGGTACATAAACTAACTCATGATCATGATACATGTATTTTGTCGAGATCATGAAACCATGGAGTTTGAACATTAAAATACAATAATGAGTTGGTTTTATAGTGAACAATATTTCAACGATCGATAGAGCCCTAAAGATAAAAATGATTTAAAGATATTTTAGGCATTTTGCAATTTGTGGTTGCAACTTTAAATACCTATTGAGAATCGATTGCTTGAAAATAAAAAAATCCCATGCAAGGTCGGGACACCCCGCTTTTGGGGCCTAAAGGGTACCTACATGCCGATTTTCAGCTTCATGGGTCAATCCGAATAGCTGTGATGTTAATCTCTAGACTAACAGTACGACACGTTAACCAACTAAATATGAACCTGTCACTAAATGTACTTGTTCACTTGACGTAAAAATAAATAATTAAAAAAATTAAAAAACACGCCTGCGTTTGTGGGAAAAATTGATCTGAAAAGTAAAAAACAAGTTATAATTTGTGAAAAATTTGGACGAGGTACTTGGCTTGGATTGTTCTTCTATTTGGAAAATTGACGATGTTTTTATTAGTATCAAAAACATTCTATAATATGAATAGTTATCTTTACCGTACATATAGGTTCAATATTATGTTTTTTTGTGACCAGACTTTACAATGCAAACGGGGGATAGTTTCCGAGATTGTAACGTTATTGTATGACAACAAACTATCCCCCGACTGCATTGTAAAGTCTGGTCACAAAAAAAACATAATATTGAACCTATATGTACGGTAAAGATAACTATTCATATTATAGAATGTTTTTGATACTAATAAAAACATCGTCAATTTTCCAAATAGAAGAACAATCCAAGCCAAGTACCTCGTCCAAATTTTTCACAAATTATAACTTGTTTTACTTTCAGATCAATTTTCCCACAAACGCAGGCGTAATTATTTATTTTATTTACTACTTTTTAAATTATTTAACAAGTAAAAATTTGTTTGCTTCTTCTGTTTTTCTGTGGTCTCCGGTGTTGGTTCATCATGTAAAAAAATCTGAACGCTTCTATTATCACCACCCTATGTAAGTTCTACATTCATACCAGTCATCCTGTAAAAGTCTGTGCTTTCTATTGTCTTCCTATGAGGGGGGCAAGCCCCCTCAACCCCCCGATGTTGGTCCTACATTCATACCAGTCATCCTGTTAAAATCTGTGCTGATCTGTTGTCTCTTTATGAGGGGGGCAAGCCCCCCTCAACCCCCCGATGTTGGTCCTACATTCATACCAGTCATCCTGTAAAAATCTGTGCTGTTGTATTGTCTTCCTATGAGGGGGGCAAGCCCCCCTCAACCCCCCGATGTTGGTCCTACATTCATACCAGTCATCTTGTAAAAATCTGTGCTGATCTGTTATCTCTTTATGAGGGGGGCAAGCCCCCTCAACCCCCCGATGTTAGTCCTACATTCATACCAGTCATCCTGTAAAAATCTGTGCTGATCTGTTGTCTCTCTATGGCAAGCCCCCTCAACCCCGATGTTAGTCCTACATTCATACCAGTCATCCTGTAAAAATCTGTTCTGTTGTATTGTCTTCCCATGAGGGCAAGCCCCCCTCAACCCCCCGATGTTGGTCCTACATTCATACCAGTCATCCTGTAAAAATCTGTGCTGTTGTAATGTATTCCTATGAGGGCAAGCCCCCCTCAACCCCCGATGTTGGTCCTACATTCATACCAGTCATCCTGTAAAAATCTGTGCTGGTCTGTTGTCTCTTTATGAGGGGGGCAAGCCCCCCTCAACCCCCCGATGTTAGTCCTACATTCATACCAGTCATCCTGTAAAAATCTGTGCTGTTGTAATGTCTTCCTATGAGGGGGGCAAGCCCCCCTCAACCCCCCGATGTTGGTCTTACATTCATACCAGTCATCCTGTAAAAATCTGTGCTGATCTGTTGTCTCTCTATGAGAGGGGCAAGCCCCCCTCGACCCCCCGATGTTAGTCCTACATTCATACCAGTCATCCTGTAAAAATCTGTGCTGTTGTATTGTCTTCCTATGAGTCTGCTGGTCTGTTGTCTCTTTATGAGGGGGGCAAGCCCCCCTCAACCCCCCGATGTTAGTCCTACATTCATACCAGTCATCCTGTAAAAATCTGTGCTGTTGTAATGTCTTCCTATGAGGGGGGCAAGCCCCCCTCAACCCCCCGATGTTGGTCTTACATTCATACCAGTCATCCTGTAAAAATCTGTGCTGATCTGTTGTCTCTCTATGAGAGGGGCAAGCCCCCCTCGACCCCCCGATGTTAGTCCTACATTCATACCAGTCATCCTGTAAAAATCTGTGCTTTCTATTGTCTTCCTATGAGGGGGGCAAGCCCCCTCAACCCCCCGATGTTGGTCCTACATTCATACCAGTCATCCTGTTAAAATCTGTGCTGATCTGTTGTCTCTTTATGAGGGGGGCAAGCCCCCCTCAACCCCCCGATGTTGGTCCTACATTCATACCAGTCATCCTGTAAAAATCTGTGCTGTTGTATTGTCTTCCTATGAGGGGGGCAAGCCCCCCTCAACCCCCCGATGTTGGTCCTACATTCATACCAGTCATCTTGTAAAAATCTGTGCTGATCTGTTATCTCTTTATGAGGGGGGCAAGCCCCCCTCAACCCCCCGATGTTAGTCCTACATTCATACCAGTCATCCTGTAAAAATCTGTGCTGATCTGTTGTCTCTCTATGAGGGGGGCAAGCCCCCCTCAACCCCCCGATGTTAGTCCTACATTCATACCAGTCATCCTGTAAAAATCTGTTCTGTTGTATTGTCTTCCCATGAGGGGGGCAAGCCCCCCTCAACCCCCCGATGTTGGTCCTACATTCATACCAGTCATCCTGTAAAAATCTGTGCTGTTGTAATGTATTCCTATGAGGCAAGCCCCTCAACCCCCGATGTTGGTCCTACATTCATACCAGTCATCCTGTAAAAATCTGTGCTGGTCTGTTGTCTTTATGAGAGGCAAGCCCCCCTCAACCCCCCGATGTTGGTCCTACATTCATACCAGTCATCCTGTAAAAATCTGTGCTGTTGTAATGTCTTCCTATGAGGGGGGCAAGCCCCCCTCAACACCCCGATGTTGGTCTTACATTCATACCAGTCATCCTGTAAAAATCTGTGCTGATCTGTTGTCTCTCTATGAGAGGGGCAAGCCCCCCTCGACCCCCCGATGTTAGTCCTACATTCATACCAGTCATCCTGTAAAAAACTGTGCTGTTGTATTGTCTTCCTATGAGGGGGGCAAGCCCCCCTCAACCCCCCGATGTTGGTCCTACATTCATACTAGTCATCCTGTAAAAATCTGTGCTGTTATATTGTCTTCCTATGAGGGGGGCAAGCCCCCCTCAACCCCCCAATGTTAGTCCTACATTCATACCAGTCATCCTGTAAAAATCTGTGCTGTTGTAATGTCTTCCTATGAGGGGGGCAAGCCCCCCTCAACCCCCCGATGTTGGTCCTACATTCATACCAGTCATCCTGCAAAAATCTCTGCTGATCTGTTGTCTCTCTATGAGGGGGGCAAGCCCCGCTCAACCCCCCGATGTTAGTCCTACATTCATACCAGTCATCCTGTAAAAATCTGTGCTGTTGTAATGTCTTCCTATGAGGGGGGCAAGCCCCCTCAACCCCCCGATGTTGGTCCTACATTCATACCAGTCATCCTGTAAAAATCTGTGCTGATCTGTTGTCTCTCTATGAGGGGGGCAAGCCCCCCTCAACCCCCCGATGTTGGTTTTACATTCATACCACTCATCCTGTCAAAGTCTGTGCTGGTCTGTTGTCTTTCTATCAGGAAGGCAATCTTCCATTAACCACTGTGTTGGTGTTTAAAGCCCCTTCACATTACTGTGGTTTCACCCACGCAGTATTCTCGCGGTACAGGTGCGATACCGTCGCGGTATTTGTATCGATCGCTATCAGGTGCGGGACGTCCATGCAAATACCACGGCGGTATCGCAACGGTACCGCGAGGAGAACACCGCGTACCGCGTACCGCAGCGATACCGCTAAAATGTGAACGGGTCTTAATGCCTACCAGTTGAACTGCCCATAACTGATTTAAACTACTTAATGATAACAGATTTGGATTTTAAATGGGTTATTTTATTGACTACAAAATCTAGACTACATACATTAATATTACATAGCAGCTCAGCTCATAAAGAAGTTGCGTTTAAAGTTTAAGGCGTTCCGTTTTCCATACAAAAGTTCAATGGAGTTATGTCTGTAAAGGAGACAAGAGTCGGTTTAAAAAACTTGATGGGAAGTCCCGTGGGTATATAAGATTGTCGCAAAACACTAAAAAGAATTTTTAAATCATCAGATTTCCCCGTAAAAAGCGAGTCGCCACTTTACGAAAATAGATGGAGCTACTGCTGCAAAAAATACGTTTAATTTTAGTGTGCACAAAATACTGATTATCTTTTAACTATAAGTAGTTTTGCGACAAATTTACGTGTGCCTTCATCATTCAGAATAAAGTTTCTTTAAAAAGAAACTCTACAGCTCATGTGTAACCCGACTGAAGTGCAGTTTTTCGTTTGTATGACGTAACGAACCACCTAAGTAATCAAAATTTTCTTGATACCGACTGCCTTATTTTAATCAACACTCAAGTTTTTGCCGACCAGGAGGGCCTGCGTTTTCATGTCTTACATTGGCAGTAGTAGTCTTTTGAAGAATACTTCACTTTACTATGAATAAAGTATCCCGGAGACAGCCGCTCTGCAATAAAATCATCATTGTTTGGTCAATGTTATAA